TGCCGCGGCTTTCTACGGCCTTTTTGCCAGTCGCCAGGCGATGACGTCGACGCCAGAGAAAACGCGGCAGTCGGAAGAAAAGGAGTTTCAGACCGTGGAGGTAGGCCTGAGCCCAGGCCAGCGCCCTGTTCCAGCGACTGAGGTGCACCTGCGCTGGAAGGGTGGAGTCGTAGAGAGCGGAGAGGCCGGCGCGCAGGTGGCCAGACACCGACGCCCAGGAACCCTGTGCGGGAAAGGACATGACCCCATTTTTAGGCAGGAGGAAGCAGTAGCGGAGCGGTGAGAAGGAATGCATTTAACTCTAGCCGGGGATATTTTGTAAAGCTGGGTGTCAGGTTTCAGTAGGCAATAATATGCATGAGTCAAACAGATAGAGGCCGGGTGCTGCAATTATTTCGGCTAAAGAACTGGCCTTGCGACTTCAGGAGCGAAAGGCGCGAAGAAATCCTGCTTAGCCATTACGTCTTGGTAAGGCAACAGCAAAAAAGGCAAGATAAGGATATGACAATCCCCTTCTTTGAGGGTATTGTGTTACTCTCCAGGGAGTTTGGGGTTAATGTTAATGTAAGGTTAGGGTTAAGTCTAGAGGTAAGTTTAGGGTTAAAGCTCTGGTTACAAATAAGGTTCTGACCAGAGAGTATTTACCCTTTGATAAAAGAGATTCTTTGGTAAACGTGAACAAACTTTATTGTACATTTTCGACGCTGGTACACCAGGTCGTCGTCGGATGTGAGGGGAATGCGTAAAGAGTAGTGCGCATTTTAAACATGCCAAAAAATCGATAATGATTTGTAATGCTTGGTCACTAGCAGGTTTTGATGGTAGGCGCTTTTTCCAGGCTTTTTTGAGATTGATGTACATTGAATCCAAGTCAACGTGCCTATTGATGCATGATTCGTTAGAGTTAATGGCCTCTAAAAATTCGCGGCCTTTCCTATATGGGCAGGAACCTACAATGCGGGTTTGGTCCCTTCTCGGGTGGTCGCGCAAGGCTAACTGATTAGTCCTGATTAGTCCGAGCGGTTGATTACTAAGCTAATTATTAGCGTTGTAAATCACAACCACTCCGTATATTGGAGTCTGTTTAAAATAATTAAACTGGGGACATATTTTTGTTGCCGAAAATAGTGGCCGGCTTGGAGTGTCCAGAAAGGTTCACGTAGAATAGGCGGGCAAATACAAGACCGTGTGACAGTGAGCGTCACGGATAAGGGATAAAGCTTGAGAAGAAGAAGACGACTCGATCGGTGGGACAATACTTTTATCCGCCTGACGTTTCCATACCTGTCGCGGATTCATCATCAGAAACAATCCGGTGAGACGAGAATTACTTGAGTCATGGTTCACAGGCCCCCATTCCATCAACAAGTGCAACGATCTGCCCAATCCATATTCTGTGCTGAGAATCAATTTGGCCAAAGCAAATCGCCATTTGGGGAACGGAAAGGCCACCACGTCATCCTACGCCTGACGTAGCGAATCAGCACTCACACCAGTTACCGATTTTTGCACACGTTTAAATTTTAACTGTCTTATACGGCAGAACTCCTGTGCACACACTACCTGTAGCTGTTACTGCGCTGTCATTATGTCTCTGATGATCAATTCGCGACGGATATCGAAACGTCAGGGGAATAAAAGTATTGTCCCGGCGATCGAGTCGTCTTCTTCTCAATTACTTCCTGGGACTCGCATGTTCGCTTGTATCGGATAAAGCGTGTCGAATTTCCAAGTTGTGAATGAGGAAAACCGAGTTGCGTACTCGTTACAACCCTCCTCTACGTCGTGCTTTTGGACACCAAACGAGAGGGTCCACAGAGTGTCGAAATGAGGTACTGAGTCGACGGACAACTATCAAACGTTGTCTCTTTTAGACGCAACGGAAACCTCAAAGAGTGAGACGCGTGCCGTGATTACTGCGCATTTAGCACCGAAACGGAGACCGACATGCAACCAGGCTGCAGCAACTTCGAGTTGACCAGTAACACGAAAAAGGTTGTGTAGTTAGTGGGACTGATGAATGTCGGCCTAAATAAATTCTCTGGTAAAATGGCGAAATAGACAAAAAGGTCGATGGGGAGATAACAAGAGAAGCTCAATCAACTGCGTCGAAACAAACAAAGAGCTATGCTAACCTTGTGCAGGACCGTTAACAGTGGTGAACTGCTATACAAATGGGAGCAGAATATGGAAGGCCAAGGTAGAAATAATACCCAAGACTTCAGTACCTAGGATCAATGTCCAACGCCTCACAACATGGTGCAATTGTCAATTTTACGTCTAGGTCGCGGAGTGGTAACGTCACTGACTGGGTCCTCGGGAAGGTTCTACATGAAGAGGACAGTGTTGAGCTTGTGTACCCGGACGCCGGCTAACTGATCTCGACTACGCCGATGATATTGCGCTGCTA